TACACACACTTGTTTACACTTTTTTTTACTTGTTTACACATTTTAATCTTGAATATTGACAATGTTTATCCAAAGTCAAAGTGAACTTTATTTTAATTTAGCTTTTGAATGCTTTGGTTTGGTTTCAGACTGTATAAAATTAATAATAAAAAAAAAAATCATTAAAAAAAATGCAATCTTGCTAGTCCTGTTATTTTTATTTGCTATTTTATTTTAATTATTATAATAAAATAATACAACAACAAAAATGTTCATTAAATATAAGATTTCTGGACCATATTTTGTATCTGAAGACAAAATATTGGCTGTCTATGCTAGAGCTCAAATCAGCAGCATTCACTGCAATATGATTCTCACTGGAACTGCAGTGTCTGTAATGATCCGTTATTAGGTCCCAGCTGCCTGTAATGATCACAATCTGGGTCTCTTTGTAAAGAAGCTGAATGCTGTATTTATTATGGGTCTGTTTCAAGATGTCCGTATGTCCACTAGAGTAAGTGTCTAAGGCAGAATTCCACTCACATCAAAGCACAACCCATCACAATCTGTTTTAACCCTCGCTGCGTGCCAGAATCAAGAGAGAAAATGAAAGAAAATAGGACAATTGTGCACCAGCAAGCTCATGTTTCTGAGAAATGGTGTCTCTTCCCAAGAGACCTGGGGAAGAATCCTGATTTTAAATCTTCTAGATACCTCTGGTGTCGCTGTATTTTGATTAAAACTGTTTTATCTAGCAATTAATTTGAAATGACTGTAATTTGCCTAATTGCTCCTTCATCCATTAGTTGCATTCGGCTCCCGAGGCTACGTGATTATTCACCGCAATCAGAATATGGGGCCCTCTAATTACACCCCGCAAATTTAATTAACATTTCAGTTCGTATCTGAAGACAAACTTGCTCTGTTTTCTATTTCTGGTGGTATGTTTAGAAAGAAAATGGAAATTTAGCTTTGAAAAGGGAACAGAAACAGACAAAATAGAAGAGCTGACTTTTATAGTGAGTTATAAACAAACAATTTTTTTCCACCTATTGTGCGCAAAATTGTTTGTTTGCCAACATAGGAAAATGAGCTTTGACTGCTAATTCCTGTATTCACATCTTTTGCACACATTAGTGGTCTTTATTTTTACGTATCGTTCTTCCATCATTCATTAGCTATTAATCAGCAGCAAGTGAGGCTCTCAGGAGCAGTGAAACATTACGGCATCCTTCTGTAAGCGCCGCTATAATAAATCACATAGTGCCATGCTAAAAACTACTTACAACACTCCAGAAATCCCATATCGACATGCTGAAAACTACTCAGAAAACTCTAGAAATAGCATGGAAACATGCTAAAAAAAATACTCAACACTTGTGAAACCACATATTAATGTTCTAAAAACACTTGGAGCATTCTAGAAATCTCATATTAATTTTCTAAAAACTATTTCGAAGACTCTAGAAATTGCATGGCGACATGCTAAAAACAACTTATGCCGAGTTCACACTGCACGATTTTCAAACTCGTCGGATCGCCGTTGTTTTCACACTGCGTGACTATCTGGGGTAGCATTCAGTTGCTGCTGTGTTCACACGGCATGATGGATCGGCGACAGAGGGTTTCACACTGCATGACTTCACAATAGGAAGAATCGGCGACAGCTCTGTCTGGTGCAGGGTTGCCAGGTTTTCGCTACAAAACCTGCCCAATTACTACTCAAAACTAGCCTGAAAATAGCCCAATTGCTTTCGAGGGGGTCCCCCAGTAAAAATCGCGCTCGCAGGGTAAAATACAAATTTTTTTGGCGGGGTTCTCCTGGTACAATTCACATTCCAGGGCCTGAATATCCCGTTATTGGGGTCGCTTCAACCTGCTGACATAAAAAACAACCGGCTGCGATCGCGGATTTGGCAACACTGGTCCGCAAACTACGTTTCATATAACTCCTCCCCGAACTTCCCACTGCCCTGTATCGTGCTCTCTCATTGGCTGTAGGTCATCGCCGATGTGTTTTTCAGTCAGAACTCATTTCACACTGCGTGATTGTGAATCGCCTACAGCTCCAGGTATTTAGCATGCCAAATATTTCACGGGCGTCGGCGACGCATCGGCGATTCCCTCAGATCTCGTCTTTGATAATTCACACTGCGTGATTGTCACTCGCGTGAACGAGCACTGATCTGCCTCCGATTTCGGGCATTTGTCGGCGATTTTGCAAAACCTGTCGGCGAGTGAAAAATCGGGCTAAAATCGTGCAGTGTGAACTCGGCATTAGAACACTCTAGAAATCTCATATTGATGTACTAAAAACTACTCAGAAGACTCTAGAAATCGCATGGCAATGTGCTAAAAACTACTCTGAACATTCTAGAAATCACATTTATATTATAAAAACTACTCAGAACACTCTAGAAATTGCATATTGATATTCTAAAAATTGCTCTGAACACTCTAGAAATCACATAGCAACATGCTAAATCCTCCTCTGAACATCCGAGTAGCCATATTTCAAAGTATAGCAACAAATCTGTTCACAAGGAAGGACCACTGACCATTTAGGTCAAAGTACATTTAAAGCACTTGGGGGTCCAATAAAAGCACAAGCGGTAAATAGTCGTCATGAATTTGTAGAACAGTGTTGAACTGACTTGTATTGAGATGTTGATAACAACTTGAATGGTGGCTTTCCAGCAAATTATTCTCATTTCCATCTCCTGAGGCTTTTCTCCAGCAATGGTGGCTTTACGACACCACTTCTCGTAATAGCCCATTGCCTAATTTTGCTCTCAGTTACAGCTTTCTTCTTGCTCTTAACATTCACATCTCTCTCTCCTTCTATCTCTATTTCTCTTATTCATGCTTTGTTGGGGTTTCTAAGTTTAGAGTTTTCCCAGCAGCATTCATTCATATTCACCTCTCACCGTTTATGTTTGTCAGAATCTTTTATAGTGTCTTTCCACAGTGGGCTGCATTACACTCTCTCTCACAGTCTCTTTGCTTTTCTCTTTAAGCAGAAAGCAGGGCAGACTGGCGGCCCTCCACCCATGCGCCTCCCCCCACCTTACAGACCCCCCAGCCAAGTGCAGGAGGAGGAGCCACAGGAGGAAGAGAGGGAGGATGAGGAGCAGGCTAAAGGTGAGAGTCTGCTGATTGTGCCAAACTGAACTTCATGTCCTTCATACGTACATCACTGGCTATGTTCGGAATTACATACTACCATACTGGCCTACTATTTTGTAGCAAATAGCGTGGATACGTTGCAGATTTTCTGTATGCATGGAATACCTGGGAAACCTAATACATTTTCATTATAAGGGCTGTCTGTTTATTTATTTATAAATAATAGTCAAATACATAGATGTTTAATTGAATTAAATTATTATTAATATAATAATATTAATAATAAATATTTAATTTGATGTAATTAATCAACATATTTAATACATTTTATTTATTTATTTTTTAAATCAACTGACAGTCCTTTCCATTATTCAGATTAATTACAAAAAAGTACATATTATATTTTGTATGTATGGAATACCTAATGAATTAGGACTGTCAATTTAATATGTAATTTAGTATATTTCATTATATAAAACAATGTATATAATAATCATAATAATAGTAGTTGTAGTAGTAATTACATAAATAGATATTGAATTAGCTTAAATTTTTTATTCAGAAATTGTTTTTATTTTAAATATATTTTTAGTAATAAAAAAAGAAAATAAGAGTCAATAGTGGTTGAAAAAATACATATTGAATTGAATAAAATGATTAATAATAAATTAATATTTGCTTAAATAATGTATAAAGAAGAAAAGGGTATTAGTGATTTAATTGCAATGCATTTTATTTAATTTACATAATAAATAATATTTTTATCTATTATAGAGTACAATTCATTGCAAAAAATATATAGGAAGATATTTTGTATGCATGGAATACAGTTTGCATTAGGTATAATTTAGTATATATTTGAATCAATTAATTTTAAATTATCTACAATATTTTTTTTTTAAACAATTGACAGCCCTTCCCATTATACAGTCGCGCAGTTAATTGCAAAAAATTGTGATGTGCAGTATATAACAGAGCACTGTGCTGGGCAATATGTCCCAGAATGCAATGCACTGAAGATGACATGGATTAATTGTCATTATAATAACTGGGCCGCACCTGCTGAATTCAATATTAAACATGCAGCATTGAGAGGTCATGTGACTACTATATACTGCTTGAACCATTTATCATTGCGCATATTATGTAGTAAGCAGTACACTGTTATTTTATTCTGAACATAGCGAGTGTCTTGGGAAGTGGCATGCCAAAACAATTCTGTAGCCGTCCAATAAGGCATCCCAATTTCAGCGTCCCAGTGCCAGATCTCATTCACTCAGTCTGAGCTGGCGGACCTTCTCAGCATCACACTGCCGCTCTAATCTCTTTCCACTTTGATGGTCCTCAATATGCCATGCAGGCAGTGCGGCGTCTCCAAATCTCTTTTTCATTCTTGTCCGCCACCGGCCCTTTGACTGGCTCTGTTCCCGGATGCCATCCAGCGAGCACTTCTTATAAAATCTTGTAGTGTGAAATTGAGTCTTTGTTGAGGTGTGCGGTATTCAGGAAATGGTGAGTCGGATAGGATCAATGAAGTGGTTACGTCCCGTTAAACTTGCGGTGGTGTGGTGTAGTGGTTGAAGATCCAGATTGGAAACTGAATTGAGTAGGGTTTGAGGCCTACAAGGGAAAATACATGACTTATCAGTATTGTGTCCTTAACTTCAGGTTGGTCAAGGTTAGGCTGCTGACCTTCACGTATAACACAGAATCATCCCATAAGAGAATAGAATTGTACATTAAATCCATACAGGAAATTGTTTGTCCAGTATTTTTTCTTCAGTATTTATAGTGGTGTTTTTTGTTTTGGCTTTCACCTAGTGTGAAAGTGTCAGTGTTAAAAACGGCTAAATATCATAAAAAAACAAGTGGTATGTGTTATGTAGGGGTGGGCGATATACTGGTAGACACGATTAACCAGTATTATTTTGTCAACTGGTAGAGATTTTGGACTATCCTCTCTATCGTGGTTACACGCTCACATGACGTCACTGTGCTATGTGGTCACGAAAGTGTATTGTTTGCACACGTTTGTAACCATTGCGGTTTAAAAACAAGTGATTTTAAGCCATTGAAACACAATCAGCAGCTAAAGAGAACTCAAGAACGGTTAAATACACACACTTGTATGTGTCAAAATGCCGGTATTTGCAAGTATCTTCGTAAACACAGTAATTTAGGTCTCTAGTGAAAGCAAACGGTTGAGAAAGAAAACATGTGTAACAGTATATTGGATCCGGGCAGCTCTTAAAGTGATTGCAGTCTAATATTCCTGCCTGCTGTCTTTCATTCATGTTAATCAAATAAAAGAGAGAAAATCTCTCACTGCTCTTGACTAAATCACATTTGTAACTTTAAGAACTGTAGTTTTTTTTTTTTTTTTGTCCTATGGCTTGTGATTACTTTCTTATTCTTATTTAATTGCTGACTGTTTACTGTCTTCAGTGAGCTTGAGTTTGTTTTCTTAGGCTAGTAGTAGTTAGTCATAAAACTAGTATTAGTTTTCTGTGATATTGACACTGGTGACAAGCGTTATGAAATTTCTATGGTATCAAAAAATTTTATATCATAAAGACCTTATTTAAAGCAATCGCGTTATCCTGAAACAAAATTATTTGTATGGTGATATAAGATTTTGGTCATATCGTCCACCCTAGTGTTACGCTTTTGTGACATTATTTAACAAAATTAATCTATTTTTGCAAAAACAAAAGTGGGAAAAAAGCAAAGCCACAGGCATACACTGTGACTGTAGCTTTTAGAATCTGTTAGCGACTGCTAGCATTTAGCTTCATGTTTTTTGTTTTGTTTTGTTTTTACCACATACTGTATCTTCAGTGTGTGCTATTTCTTTTCATGAAATTTTCAGTTTTAAAAGTCAACATCTTGAGGCTTTAAAATAAGAACTTGGAACTTAAACTCTTGATTTAGAAACTTTTGTGGTTGTTCTTGTATATAACCAGCTACCATTTACCTAGCAGGACTAAATGTAAATTTCGACAGAGTGCTACTTCTCAAGCTGCTACTTGCTAGTTTCAGCTCATAATTTCCCACAGTCTCCACCATTCTGACAACAATGTAATGGAGAATGGGTACAAAGCTGCATGTAAACACTGTGAATGTGTTGCTTTTGGCTTCTGTTAGCATTTAGCTTCTCCATTTTGTGCAATTGTTTTTTCAGTGTGCACATATTGTTCTTATAAAGTGATTTTCAATTTAAAAGGCTCTGAAATATAAACTTGGTTTTTAAGCTCTTGATTTAGACACTTATGTTGATGTGACAACTTCACGTATATAAATGACTACCTTTTAACCAGCAAGGCTAAATGTTTGGCTAAATGCTACTTAGTAGTTTCAGCTCATTATTATTCATATATATTCCCCCCATTTTCCACAATTCTGACAAAAATGTGATGGAGAATGTCTAAAGCTCCATGCATTCACTGACTGTGTAGCATTTAGCTTCTGTTAGCTTTTAACTTCTCCATTTGGTGCAACATACTGTATCTTAAGTTCAGTTATTCTCATAAAGTTATTTTAAATACAGCAGTTCATGAAAAATAGGGGCAAAAACAAAAGTGTTGCGTTTATAAATTTGTTCAGTGTATTTATCGAAGTATATATATTTATCTCTAAGCTCTAAAATACTGTGAATATGAACTTGGAACTTAAATTCTTGAATTAGATACTTATGTTTTTGTTGTTCGGTTCACCATTTGTATATAACATGCCATTTAGCTAGCAAGGCTAAATGTAAAGTTTGATAAAGTATTACTCAAGCTACTATTTGGTAGTTTCAGCTCATTTCCCATATTCCCCACAATTTGGACAACAATGTGATGGAGAAACATACAAAGCTGTGAATGTGTAGCATTTAACTTCTGTTAGCATTTAGCTTCTCTATTTTGTGCAACATACTGTATCTTTAATTCAGTTGTTCTTATGAAGTGATTTTAAATTTAAAAGTCAACATCTTGATCTTTTAAAATATGAGCGTGGAACTCTTGAATTATGCGTTTTTGTAGTTTATCAAGCTCTCTACAACTAGCCACCATATAACCACGAAGGCTAAATGTAGGTACTTTTGTAGAATGTAGAAGTATGTGGAAGTAGGCTACTACTTCTCAAGCTGCTACTTGCTAGTTTCAGCTCATTATTTCTCCACATTTTCTGCCATTTGGAGAACAATGTACAACGCATATTGTAGATGATAAATGGCTCTTATGGCTCTAGTCACTCTAGCTCTCTATCTACGGCCTGAACTGTTCTTCCTGTGAAGCTTGTCTTCTGGTGAGGTGATTTTGATGATTGCATATGTTTGTCCCATTGCTTCCTTCCCGTCAGTCAGTGATAAATTACTTCAGGTTACCTCATCTTGCTTCTGTCAGTCCAATCAAATAATTATTTGAATGGATTGATGGAACTCAATAAGTCAGCTTTGCTGAAGAACTCAACATCCCGAACTGCTTAAGTTAGAGGGGTTTTTCTTTTTCCACTCAGGACAACCTAGTCAGCAGTTTACATAATCCCTCGACATAAGAAAACGTCTGCTCGCGGATTAAGATAAGAGTACTCTTGTGTCGGATTTATTGAATGTTGAATAAACACAATCGAAAAACTTTGCCTAAAACTTGTCGCAATAGGATTACGGGGTGTTTGCCTTGCAATGTAAGACGTGCGATAAGATGACCTCTTATGTCAAGATTTGCTGATGCGCATTTTAAATTGTATTACCAAACGGTTATTGCGTAACTCAGTGGTTCCCAACCCTGGTCTGGAGGCACCCCAACACTGCACATTTTGCATGTCTCCTTAATCAAACACACCTGATTCAGGTCATCATCACATTAGTAGAGACTCCAAGACCTGAAATTGGTGTGTCAGAGAAAGGAGACATGCAAAATGTACAGTGTTGGGGTGCTTCCAGGACCAGGGGTGGGAACCACTGGCGTAACTCATATTTGCTGTCTGTAAGCAATTACGATATATTGTATGCTGGACATAGCGCTGCTTCC